ATTAATTACTGAAATTGCTTGATAATTAGGAAATATTAAAAATAGTAATAAGCAGAGGCTCGAGTAAAAATATAAGAAATTTGATAGATATAGTCTTAAAATCAAAATATTATACTTCGAGAAATAAAAAAGGGTTTAAATAACAAGAATATCGTTACATTTACCGTGTTTCTGGGTTTATGGGAACATCAAAAAGTTCCATAATTTTTACCGAAGTGCTTTGGTAATAATTTTGGTAAAATTAACAATTAAATATAGTTTTATCATATAGGATAAAATTTGGTATATGAAGTAAAATTTATCATGACCATGCTTTATACCATGGCATAAAAGCTATTTATTCGTTTAAATTTATTTTCCAGTTTTGTTTTTTTTACAAAATGTGTGGTAATAAGAGAACTGTAATTTTCAAAACCATAATTAAAGTATATTTTAGACTATATAAATGGAAAAATTACCAAATGAATGGTTTAAATACCGTATATTTGAGTTTTTATAACCAAAATTATTTTTATCATTACCATACAGTACGGTAATTTTACCAGAATTTTTTTCTTTATGTACCATATAAAATACAAATCACATCATACATATCGTGTCATATGAAGGCTTTATTGAGAGACAATGATTAGTTAGAAAAAGAAAAACATAAAGAAAGGTAGTAACTAATTTCTGATAAAGTATATATAATATTTTGTTATGGTTGTAACTTGAATGAAATTTAATAGCAGTAGTAGTTGGCAGAAGTAGTTATAAAACAAAACGAAAAAAATAAAAGTTGTACATACTTACTTTTTGAAATTTATTTTATTTTAAATAAAGTAATCCTTTTCAAGTATTCGTCATAAAAAATTTATAAAACAAAAATAATTTCATTAAAAGAATATTTGAAGGGAAATAAGATTATTTCAAAAATAAGTACAAATAGCACGCAAATCGTAATACTTAATTATGATTTAAATTATAATCATTATTTCCTTATAATCTGCAAATTATTGATCAAAACTGAATAATATATTTCAATAATAAACTTTTTTTTTAAACTTTAAATATTAACCTAAAAATTTAAATATTTTTGTTTCATGCCCTCTCAATACACAAATTCACAATTTCAATCATTCGACAATCTTGATGTTTTGATTAATTTTAATGTAAATATCTTATTGGGAATACAATTATTATTAGTAATGATGCAAAATTGTTATCTTAAAATGATCTATTTCGGAATTGAACTTTGGAATGAAGGGTCGGTAAGAAAGAAAAAAAAATTTTTAAATGCAAATTACTCCTAAATCAAATTAATTATGAAATACTTATATAATTTATGAAATGAAATAAATATTTTTGCCTGCATGCTTTTCTATTGACGTGTTTGTTTCTATATTTTATTATGTTTATAGCTCTCTAATTAGTGTCTTGTTAGAATCTAGTAATATTCTCCATGAATAAATTTATCATTATTCAAATGACATGTAAATTACTAGCTCTTAACTGATGGAAAATCAAAGATTAAATGCGGAATGAAAGAAAAACACAGTAAATTAAAAAATAACAAAATAAAATTGATTAAAATTTCTTTATCTCTAAAGTACTTAATCACTCATAATATATTTTAAATTAACTTCAATGAAAGGATCAGAGATTATTCAGGGATATTTATTTTAAGTAAAATTAAATCAAAGTTGAACTATGAGGTCAAATAAACACGCATAAGCCTAATATGCCATACAGGCAATACAGAACTTTCTAAAATTCTTGAAGAAAATGCAAATTATAATTACCCTATTAAAACTCTTTGCAAGTGTTAATGAACCTTCTGGGTTTCTGTAAACATTAATTATTCGAAGTTTTGCTTGCATAATATATTACATAACATTTTTATATGTTTTACTCAAGGACGCTACAGATGTTTTGGAAAGGAGTGCAAGCGCCATCTATTAAAAATTTCTGAAACTTACATGGAATTTGAAGTAAACTAAACAAACAGTTGTTTAAAAGTGTAAAGCAATAAGAATTTTTTTTTTTAAATTAATGCAATTAATTATAAGATATAAGTAACTTTAAAAGGGGTCTGGTTAAAAGAATTGTACAAATGCCGTAATGTAATTTGCCGTTGGTCTTGTTCTTTTGCTAGATTAAAAATGTTTAACAGAGAACATTTAAATAAGCTGCTTCATAATTTATTACTAGACAAGCATTATTTTAAACGGCTAAAAAGTTTTTAAACTCTGAAAATTTGACGAAAAATTAGCTTCTTCATTTTTGATTTCGAAGTAAAAATTAACATCCAAAAGAATTATTAAAAGTAACAATTAGCATTACATAAAATGAAATTTTAAGTATTTTCTTATATTTAAACTACTTTTTTTACATTTAAATGAACGTAAATAAATATTTAATGACAATTTATATCTGACTGAAAATATTATCAGCATATTTTTAATTTTATATTATCATCAAATTGTTCATCAAAATTGATTTCCTTTATATTGACAACTATTTTTAATTTTGCTTTTATTTAAAAGAACGAGTATTGTGAGATTTTATGTTTCCCTTATTGAATTCAAGCATTTAACTTCAGTTCGTTATTGTGAAAACTCATATTTCGTATTATTAACATGCGCAGGTTCACATGGTAAAAACTTGATATTTTTCAAAGGAAAAAAATAAGAAACGTGATAATTGATCCCAATATTTAAAAAGTTGTGCAAAAAAGAGATCAAAGTTCCGATAGGCTATAATTTTAATTGTTTAATATTGTATGGCGTAATTAATCTAAGAATTAGGGCAAAATATTTTTGTATTCCTATTTCATAGATATTTTTTTCAAAATAAATAATAAAAATAAATTAATTAATTAATAAGAAAATGTGATGACAAATGATTCATGAATTTACTTTAAAATACTTTGTTTCAATATCATTTAAATTTTAGAATTTGAGTGGAGTTTTTTAACATCTAGAGATATTTTCTAAATTTACATATAATTTTTGGATAATTGGAATTAGCTGAAACATTTTGTTTTCACACGATCTTCTAGCTTTTTTCCAGATTACGGCTACTCTTGTATGAAATACCACTATACAAAATATTGCCTTGAATTTTCATCGACAAGGAATGGGCAAAAATATTTTAAAATTTATATATCAGCAAGTATGTGTATAGTGGGTAATATATGGTCTCCTTAAATTTCAAAAACCAAGATTCTTACCGGTCAAGATTTATGAGGTTTTGCAAGGTCACCACAACTTGGAAAATCTTTCGGTCTCAATCTATATTGTGGGAAAATCTTCACCACAACCGGTAAAGAGAATTTTGAAAATGAATTAACTTATTAAGAGTTCAAATTATGTAATAAAAAGATGAATAAATAAATGCTGCTTAGTTACTCTAGGTACAATAAAATATGCTAGACAGATAAATATTTGAATATTTGGAGAAATGTTAATTACATGGTTTCGAATGCCTGCTTAAGAACTTCTAAATAATGATGAAATAGTAATCAAGCTAGTTTTTTAAAAATAAAAAAAATTCGGAATTTGAGCATTAACTATGAATTTTGCTTTCATATAAAAATTCAATAGCTATGGATTTTTTTTAACACGCAACTTATTTCTTTCATAGCATTTAAAAGCATTTTAAATATAATTTAATGAATTAAAGATTTAATAAAGTTTAAGAAACGAAGTATGATTTCTAAATTTAAAAAAAAAAACATCATCCTGGCTTACAAACAGTACCAATTTTTATAATTTTTTCATCACAATTTACGATACTTTTAATAATAGGTATAATTTTCATTCACTGTATAAAACAGGTTATTTTCGTCAATGCTTCAATCAATTAAGTTTTAAGATTGATTAAATGCCTATATATCATAACTATTTATAATTTTTTTGGAGTCAGTTCCCGATATCACTGTATCCAGAATGTCGTTATATCCGGCAAAATGCTTGTAGATTTTTATCGAAATAGGTTGGCCCTCTCTTAAAAATAAAATATAATTAAACATGTAAGACGTAAATTACAATTCCAAATTACTCACATAAATCAAACGTTCAAGTGTCATCGAGATTTAAAAATGTATCTTAAGTGAAAAATTAGAAGGCTTTATATGTTTTGACCTTGTAAGGTCATTTGCCTAATACTGTTTCACTTTCGTGTCACGTGGTATGCACTTTTTAATCGCTGGCAACACTCTAAAGGAAGGAAACAAAATTATTTCAAATGTAATAAGTAACAAGGTATTTCGTAAGGTATCCTTTAAAGATAATTTTTAATTTGATTTTTCGAGATAGCTCGGTTTGATGGATGTTCTTTGAAAATCTGTACTTCATTCGATTAATCAACAACGAAGCGATTAATCTCATTCTAATCTTCTCTCGAATCTTTAATCTTTTCGATGGACTATTTTTTGAGACAATGCGTTACATCGTGGTTTGGAAAAATTAATTGAATTTTTTTTTTCTTGGGCTCAAAAAGGGCTTAAATGTCGGTTTCATTAGGGAACCAAAAGAGTAGATATTCTGGGGAACCATTTCTTTTTCCAGAACTTCAGCAAAATGAGATGAGGTAAGAAAAAAAAAAGTTACACGCTTTTGAACTTTTTGACCTTGACTATATTTTTAATTGCGGTGAAGCCACGTGACTTTCAACACGTTCCGCTCAAAGAACCGCCTTTAGGCATAATTTCGTTTAGATTCCAACTTCTGTGGAGCAAAACTAAAATGCTACCGTTTCTGTAAAGCTTTTTTTTTTTAAAAAAAAAGATCATTTTTGCAGTCTTCTAAATAAACCTGTTAGCGCCCAGCATCAAATTTATAGGACACATTATTCTGTCAAAAACACATATTGCTGTAAGACAATTGTTTCAGTTTTGTTATTGGCTAGAATTGTCGTCTATCACCACAATTTATCAATGATTTAGCTATCTGTGACTAGATCTAGAAATATAAGAAGCCGCCACTTTTTTGAATGAAATGTTAGCTAACAGTACTTACTTAGCATCTTAGTTTTATATCATCAGGGTTGCAACGGACACTAAAAACACAAAAAGAGATTATAAATTAAATTCGAAGTTTCATAAAAACAGATTAAAATTAGCAACATTTTATGATTTTTTTTCTTCTTCAGTTTACTATTGAAAGATAATGCAAAGATGCAGGGAATGTGTTACATCCCGCTGTTTGGTGCGAAGCGCCACTAGCTGATTCATCGAACTTTTATAGTCTTAAATTAATTAGTCGTAAATTGGAAACAATTATAATATGTGCAAAGAAAAATTGGAGAAAATTCCATTGTAAAGTTAGAAATTATGTAAAAAATAAAGCACATAAGGACAAGCACAAAAATTAGTAATTAAGTTTAGTAAAATAGCTACTAATAGTCATCAGAACAAATTTAGAATAATATATACACTAAATGAAGATAATAATAATAAAAGTAATTGGAATTACTTTCAAGGTTATTAGCAAATTATATACATAATTAGTATTCCTCTGTTAGCATAGTGACCCGGCCGTCTCGGTGGAAATGCAAAGAACGATTTGGTTTAAATATAAATAATTTGAAATGTAACTCATAGAGAATGGTTGGTACGATAGAAGAATCAAAGAGTTAATAAGTAAATATAAATGAATTGAGTTTCTACCACTATTTACATTTTTAGTCTTCTGTGGCATCCCTGTATCATATAATACGCCACTTTTTTCCTCAAACAATTTTTTGCATCACTTCAATATAAAAAGTTGGGATAAAACGGATTAATATATCCGAGTATTGGAATTAAAGTTACCATGCCACATTTTTCAGGAGAATTAGTAAAGAATTTTTTGTTATAAATGTGTATCGGATGTAAAAGTCATTATGACAGAAATATTACATTTTTCAGAACCATTTAAGTGTTTGAATATATATATATATATNATCAAAATAAGTTGTTGGAGCTATCTATCTGTATATGTCTGACTGACTGCCTGTATATATATATATATGTGTGTGCGTGTGTGTGTGTGTGTGTGTGTGTGTGTGTGCGCGCGTGTGTGTGCGTGATAAAAATTTTCCTGGAGAATTATTGAATGATTCTTTCTTTTATATCTGTGTATCAGAACAAAAGGTCACGATGTCACAAATGATGATAATCATTTTAGGAAAACAGGTCAAATGTATTTTCTTCTTTCTTTTCTATCTGTGTAGAAAGTAAAAGGTGTTATATTACGAGTGTTAATTTTTTATACAGATTTAAAGAGATGAAGTTGAATAATTCTTTTACATGTGTTGTTAAATTTTGTACTATCGTTTTTATTTCGTAAAAAATGAACTTCCACTACTTAAAAATATATTTCTGAAAGTCCATAATTTATTTTATAAACACATTTCAATGTACCAATCATTCAAACGTTATGGCAGTCAAAATAATTTTGAATCACATTTATTCAAATAAGAATTAAGAGCAAATGTATATTATTTTGCTACCATATGAAATAATAAAAATTAAATCCTCCGAAAAATTCAGATGAGTCATATGTAAGGACAGTGATAAAGAATTCGTTTTTATCCTCCATTTGTAATGGTATTTACACATCTTTTATGCATATTTCAGTATACATTTAATGGTGTTGGTGATTGAAATAACTGTATAGGAAGTTTCTTAAACCAAGTGCTACACCAAAACTTTTGCTAATACCTGGACTATATATCTTTAAAAGCGTCAACAGGGTAGCCAAATTTCAGAAAAACCTAAAAACTAATTTTTATCAGTCAAAACAATTTGTAAATTAAATACCTGTGTCACAAATGACCAAATAAATTCCCAGAATGGCCTATATAAATTTATGATAAATTCATTAAACATTTATCACCCCTTTCGAAATTTTCCGGACTGAGGTCATCCTTTAAAAAGTTAGCAGCTATGCGTATAAATTAAAAGATATAGCAAAAATCTGATGAAGTCAAGTTGAAACTTTATTATTATTCGATTCTTAATGATGTCTGGAAAAATAATACTATTAATTTACGCTATTAAATACACTATTAATTTTCAAATCTATATTATGGTATATATGATTGCCAACTAAATTATGAGCAATCACACGATTGCTTTAAAACATTAATTTTACTTGTTGTTGCTATAAATTTGTTCAATTTTTTAGATATCTCTAAAAGATAGTTTTAATATTTTGATGCAAAATTTGTGGTAAAAGAATTATTCTAATCTGAAGAAAGCTACTGAATTTTCAAGGACTATATTTAGGGTCGTTTCTTAAAGCATTGAAAAGCTAAACTCTGGAAAGCAGCTTTTTTTTCTTTTTTTTTCTAATGACATCAATATCAGCGTTTCGACCATCAATCAATTGAGTATGCAGCATTTTTATTTTCAAGACTATTCACAAACAATATCAAAAAGAAATATTTACGTTGCTAAAGCATTTAATGACTGATGCATTTTCATTCTAATGTTTTTTTTCTTTTTCTTTTTTTTTTTTTTTTTGTATAAATGATTTCCGTTTTGTTCAGTCAAGCCAATATATATGTTACACTTGATTTCAGAATTTTTACTTTTCTTGCAATTCAATGGAGAATGTAATCTTCTTTGGATTAAATTTAAATCTTTGCACTCAGTTCGGTTGAATGTGGTATTTTTATATAATTCGAGTCTTGTAAGAACGAATTCCTCAAAAATAAATGTCAATATTAAATTAAGGTTAAAATCACGATTTCCGCCAATAAATAAGCAAAACTTATGCTTATTTGTTAAAATTGTATCTTTCAATGCATTGTTTTTTATTTAATAAATTTGAAACGTATATAGAAAGCACAAATAATCTAAGGTAAGATCTACTAAGCATAAGTTATGGAGACTTTTGCGCCATCTATTGATTTAATACGCAACTAACTATAGAATGTAAAGAGAGCCCACCTGTTGTAATCAATAAGCATTCTTTGTGTCCATTGTTTCACAAGAGGAAAAGGTAAAAATGTCTTCAAATTCTCCGGAAAACTTATCAAAAATCTAGCTTTTTTAAAGAAAAGAAAAAAAATTGAAATTATTTTAACCAAGAAAATTTGTTGTAAGTATTTGGCAGAATTTTGTATTACATTTTTTCTCAATTAAATGATTTAATTATAGTAAAAAGCTGAAATTTTAATAATGATTTATTTTCTGTAATTATGTATGGTTTTCCATACATAATAAGTTTTGCAAAATTTTTTCATAAGTTTTGCAAAATTATAGAAGTAATTATAAGTATTTTTTCAACTTGGAAACATTAAATTCTATCTTGCAAAATATTTGCCATCAATTTTCAAATTTTCAAGGTATTAGTTTTCAAGTTTGCATTTCTATAGGTTACTATCAACATAATTGTTAAAAATGGCCCTGAAATTTTTTAAAAAAATATTAATTACACATGAAATTTTGTAAAACTATAGAAGTGATTGTAAATATTATTTCTAGTTCCTTTAAGCTGCCTCAAACAGCAAAAAAAAAATTTCTTTTGAAATCATCATGTATGCTATCTATTCTAATAAATTGTGACAGTGCTTTTTGAAAATTTGAAAAAAAAAAAAAAAAATGGTAACATTATTTCTTTAAAAGGAATTTATGATCGACATTGGATAACCGGATATTGTGTGGAAAGTTTGCAAACATCGAGTTTTGTCCTGAAAATTACAAGTGGTTGTGTCCGTTTTTTTTTAATCGTTGAAGGAACCTAGAGTGCAAAAGGTTAAAATACTTTGAGGAATTCCATATTTGAAACGACGCTATATAAACTAGCATAGTGTTTGAATTTACACTATATAATTTTGTTAGGTTTCGTACGCACCAGGAAAAAATTTATAACTGGTATCAATTTTGGGGATATCTGGTATCAATAACTGGTATCAAGAAGCTGACAAGTTTCTAAGATTCGTTTCCAGTATCGAAATAAATTTTCACATATGCCATTTTCGAATCTTTACATATTTACTTAGAAAAATAAAATATTCTGTCAGCTATAAACATGATAATATAAAAAAAAATTAGATAAATATTACTACCACTTTTTAATTTTTTCAGCTGCGTGAGAAACATTTTAGTATAGCTGCATAGTATCTGAATTTCTTACATAAATATTAACATCGATGTTATAAAGTCCTCGATAGAATACTTAAAGTGGTAGATGAAAACAATTAAGTTTATCTCAATAACTAATTTTAACAATTAATTTTATAATAATAACCACATAAATTAATAACCACTTTAAATCTTCAAAGAAAATCTTTCAATAAAACTTGAGACATGCGTGATAACTGTCTGAAAAAATTAAAAACGTGGTGACAACTGTTTCATGGTATTATAGTAAATTTTTAAGTCCTTAATTTCCATTCAATTTTAGGAATACAGTTGGGCAGCTGTTATACAGAGAATTTAATTTTCAAATATTTTTGGTCGATAGTAGTTAAAAAAAAAAATATATATATATTTATTTTTCTGGATCTTTTTCTACTATTCTTAAATTTTTTTGGTAGTATTCATATATGTTGTGGTAATGTGTTAACCCTCTTAGAAGCGTGAAAAATAACGAAGTAATTTAGCTGCTACTTTTAGTAATTTAGCTGCTACTGATCTTTTTCTACTATTTTTAAATTTTTCTGGTAGTATTCATTTATGTTGTGGTAATGTGCTAACCCTCTTAGAAATGTGAAATATAGCGAAGTAATTTAGCTGCTACTTTTAGTAATTTAGCTGCACTGATCTTTTTCTACTATTTTTAAATTTTTCTGGGTAATTTCATTAATGTTGTGGTAATGTGCTAACCCTCTTAGAAACGTGAAAAATAGCGAAGTCATTTAGCTGCTACTTTTAGTAATTTAGCTGCTACTGATCTTTTTCTACTATTTTTAGTATTCATTTATGTTGTGGTAATGTGTTAACCCTCTTAGAAATGTGAAATATAGCGAAGTAATTTAGCTGCTACTTTTAACCACATTTCCGCTTCTTTTATCAACTTCATATTGGTACAGATGTACGCAAAGTGCATACGACAAAATACAATCACTATTAAATATAGTATCAATTTATTAGATACCACTGAAATCCCGAATATTTCAAATCGACGTAAAATGCCACGTTAATACTGATATCAGATTCAATAGAATTTGTAATACGTTAATCGGTTTTGAATAGCTTTCATATGACAAAACTATAAAAAAGAATTTTTCTCTTTGCATTGTAAGAAATCCAATATTTTCTGTTAACAGTAAAAGCTATTAATTTTTTTTAAATAACTTCCATAGGACTGCCAACGTCTACGCTTCTTCCAGAATATTTCATAGAGTGGTAGACAATACAAAACTGAAACTTTCAGAATTTTTTGCAATTTTACAATAATTTTAAGAGCCTCATCACGAGAGAGCCAGGACTAAGTGGCATTTTAGATGAGTTTGCGAATCCTTTACATATAGTGGTGTGGAAAATGAATTCAAATCATATTTACAAGGCAAAGAATCATACATTGAAACATAAGCTTAGCTACCACTAGAATAAATTTTTCCAAAAAGCGTAGAAAATTGGTAGCTTTGTAATTTCTGATTCGTAGGAACACTTATCTTATACTTTAATATATACGCTTTAACATTAATGCCAACATAGCGCGCGAAATATATATTTATGTGCATAGGTGCCAAATTGCATGGTTTTTGAGAAAAATTTCTTAATATTAATAACATTTATACCTCAGAGTACAAATCCTAATTTTTAAAGTTAAATCTTAAATTGCTTAACCTTCTACAGAAAATCTTAATTTAAACCTATATATATAATTTACAATAGCAAGGCTTCCAACTTTATAACAACCACCACACAGACTGCTGATCTCTTAACTTGTGCGCTCGAGTTAATTCGATCGAGCTAAACAGGCTGCATTCGAGATAATTCGAGCGGCGTTGTATGTTATGCTGCTATAATTTTTCACACTCGAATATAATCGTGAATTGAAAATGTGTTTTTTCTGTGTTCTAAAGTGTGTTTTTTACATTAAAAAAAACACACTTTGCCGGCTTTTTTCAAAAAATCTGCTCGTTAAGGGGTTAAAATCCTACCACAATTATCAAAACAAACATGATGGATGATCCACTTTTTTGTGGCTTTAATGGGTTACCTATTATTTTACTACCTGTTTATATATTTTGGGTGCTAGTTTGGCATTAATGGTATATAATTTTCCCAGTAACTTAAAATAACGAAATTATTTCCTTAGTAATTTAAAAGACCCAAGACGTTCGTATTTACTTTAATTCAATACCGATCAATATTTATGTTCTTTAAAAAAAATAATTAGCGTAATTATTTTATTTTTAGTTTTTATCTTGGGAAAACAAAAGATGTCTGACCACCGTGGTATATAGGTAATATGAATCTTATAATTTTAATCTATAATCATGGAATTATAATATTTTTAAAAACAGGAACAGAAGTTGTGTAGATTACTTACGAAAGTCCCCATTCAATTTTAATATTAATGAACTACCTCTCTTTTTATAATAACTCTTCACGTTATTGCTACATAAATATCAGTCGTTAATGGGGAAGTAAAACAGCAAATCAAATATTTTTATCTGAGACGGTGCATTCATATATATATATA